GCACTGTCTGACGCGTCTGCCTCCGCGACCCGAAAGGAGAAGCGGCGATGGAAGATGAAGAGGAAGAAGAAGTATGCCTTTATCTGTGTTCGACATAAAAATCACGTTGGTAAAGAGTATATCAATGTATTCTTTTGAGCTCCTGTTATCTCCGAATGCCGTAATGTACCCCGTCATAAAATCTCTACCTCTGTCGCTAACCACACCTCTAAAGTGGGTTGTTCGCGTTAAATTACGGACGGAGTAATCAATCGCAAGCTGAAACTGTCCAATGAAAATTTATAAAAATAAGTAATAATAGCCCTGGTAATTACCTGCGTCATCGTTTGCCTTTTGCAACACTTCTGCCAAGAACGGCCAGAACACGTTTTGCAGCAAACGTCTGGACATTTCCTCGACGATGTCCGTAAGAGGCTTCCACAGGACGGCGAAATTCACGTAGAACTGTCCAATCAAAATTCGCAAGGGCAACTAGGAAGTTATAGAGTTCAAGAGTAAGCTTACGATATTTACCTCACTGTAGTCATACCAGAAGAAAGAGCTCACTGTGTTGCAAAATGCGATCAGGAAAGCGAAACACGGCTATTCGACGGTACTCTAACAGACGTCCTCTGTATGTTTCGTATGTGACGGGCGTTGATTCAATTTTCAGTGCGATGTTGAAAAAATCGAAAACATCCTGAAAGGTCACAAGTAGCAAGTTCTGATTTGAGTAAATAAGTGAACGCGCTGAAAATTGCATTATATGATACGACATTCCTAAAACGAGTAGCAGATTCAACGATAATAAGCACTACCAGGAGATCAAAGCTTGGGCCTTTAAATACTTTATTGATAGCATCTCAAACATAAACAACACTTTAGATCGTCGAGGAAAACATTATTTGTTTTTTTGCTGCCTCTGCTCTGTATGCACTGATGATACCCATGTTACGCAACGGAAATGTTGACAGCAAAATGAATTAAAGGTCATTGCACTGACCTTCTAATTTAGTCCATAACTAAGCAATCTCTACCACCTACTTTGATTAAGGCACAGAATTTACATAAGTTTTCAATTCATTCTACGTTACCCATTTGAAATGCCTATTATTTGATATTTTTAAGTTCATAACACTATATCATTTCATAGCAAAGAAATCTCATAAAATAGAGTGTTTGTGCAGCAAGCAAATTCAGTTGTCAAGACGCTAAAGATTGTGAAGATCGCTAAACTTTGAGCCATTAAACGGACCAACTGAGAAAAGCCAGTGGGGCAGGAGACAATATTTCGGTGATATATACTAGATTTACAACGGGGATTTTCTTACTAAACATTAATTCCCTTGAGTAAGGAATTATCTCCACTAGGCTTCAGTGCAACCAGCTAAGAAACAAGTAGCAGATCGATGACAAGCGTAATATACACAGAACATGCTACCCTGGTGTGGTCATGAAAGAACTTATGATAAAAACTATAAAACACGGTTTATTCATCCGCGACGGAAACAAAATAGTCAAAAAAGTGATTAAGCAGGACCGACATTTCGGTTACTGCACTTAACCAGCAACATGGACCAAAAGCGCACCTCTTAGATCCAAATGTCACAACAGAGGAGGGTCCCAGAATTGACTTCACCCTGAAGGGAACTTGTCCACTCTGAAGAAAGTCCATTTTGGTACTAGTTTATCACCCAATTGACCAATTTGTTTCCGTTGCACGTGAATCAACCGTATCTTAGTACATTCTTCAGTACATGGTGACTAACGCACGAAAGAAATATTGAATCTTAAAAGGATATGATACCTATTATTACAATGGTGTATGAAGCGTACGTTTGGGAGCTGTAAGTCACGTTGACCCATATGAAAGGTGAATAAAAACTGAAACAAAATGTAAATCGTCAATGAAAAACAAAATTTAATTTAAACTTGAACAGACAACTGCTTCCAGCTAAACCATTAGATGAAAACACATACAAGAACCAGATTAAAGCTTGCAAGTTCAGTCGGACAACATCCCGATGAATCATAAACAACTAACTCCGGAAGTTCTAATCTTTTGCACGGATATTAACTACTCTATACTCCATAGTAATTACTCTATCTGACAATGATCTGACTATAAGAAGGAAAGGAGGATGAACGAACCGCTTAAACTTTGTTAATGAGCATATGACAAAAAATGACCATCTGTATGCAAACTCAAATCAGCTAATCACTCAAAGGCAGAAAATCAAGGTAAATGCTTGATTTTCCCTAGACATAATAAATAATTATATTTAAAAATGAGCAGCAAACAGTTTACAAATTTTCGACACTAACTTCGAATCCGAGAATACTGCTGATGTGCTTCAGCAACCGTAAACTGTAGAAGCGAATAACGGTGTAAGGAGCCAATAAATTTGCCGCCAGGATCTTCAGCATATCTGCGATGATCGATGATTGGTCATCTGAAACGCAGCTTCCTTTACCACGTTGCAGACATTCAAAATAGAAGTTCATTCCACGTAAAATGAACACGTTGGACGGTTGAGTTCTAGGCAAAAAAAACAGTTAAACAGCATAGCATATAATTTCATATGCTTTACACATATCAATCAAAACGTCAGTAATCTGGCTAACGCATTTAATAGATTTGGCAGAGATGATTTACTATTTAGCGTTAATCAATCACATACGCCCATTCACTAACTTATCATGGACAATATAGCAACCGCTTAATGAACACAACTTAAAGCTGAGTGAAAAAGACTGGCTACAGTCGCAGCCACAAAGTCGATGTTAAGGTCGAAAAATTTTTTTCTGTCTCCATGTCGCCATCCTGAGGGTAAAAAGCAAAAACACCACGCAAATTTCGGTCATAAGTTATGCAACATAACATCTACGCAAGATGTTATGCTGCATCACCTCCTAGCTGATGTTCGTTGTGTTGCTGCAGTAATCTTATACACGTCTATCTCTGAGCATAAAGTACCATCGCAGCTATTTGTA